AAAAAAAAAAAAAAAAAAGAGTGCTGATTTTCCTTTGGAGAAACTTCCATCCCCCTTACTTTTATAGTTCATATGGTTCACACAGAACTGATCTCAATCCTAACTGTATCCCGTCTACACCACTAATTTTAGGAATGAGTGAGCATATGAACCAGAGTTGCCCAGAGCATTCCATTGTTCAGGCCACAGTGATTGGTTCAGGGCATATTACCCAAGCTAAGCCAAAGAGACTTGACCCTAGGTTCATTATTAACTAAATAGATTTGTTGACGCTAGGCTGGTTGAAGCTATGAAGAGGTTCATTTCCCCCCTGGGGTGGCTGAACAGGTTAGAGAAGCCTGCTGATTATTATAATGCCCACTCTTAAGCAAAATTTGTCAGAAAAAGAAGCTCAGAGAATAAAATAGAATAAAGTGATATTCCTAAAAACATTGTTGGAGCCTCTAATCCACCCATGTTTGAACTCAATATTCTCAGTTATATGCACCAATAAATTTCTTCTCTTTTAACTCAGCCTAAATTTTCAAATTATCATCCTCAATCAAGAGTATCAGTCTCATCCTTATTCTGACTAATACATTACTAAAATATTAAAATTTGTAATCTTTTTATGTTCATGTACTTTGGTTCATACCTCTCAAACAAATGAGTAAACATTTATTGACATAAATTAAATAACTATTGACTGATCTTCCCCAACACCACATACTCACATCTACAAGATACAGAAAAAAGAAATTTATTTTTATGCCAGTCTCATACATGCATAGAAAGCTAAGCCCAAATGAACTTATGGTACTTAAGCACCAGGAAACTTCGTGAAAAAGCCAGGCAGTGATAAAATCAAAACAAAAGAAGAGCCCAAATGCATCCAGACACACACACACACACACACACGCACACAGACACACACACAAAACCAGTAAAAACTGGTTTTAAAACTTGAGGAGCGGGGAAACAAGAGGCTTGAAGAAAGGCACAATTTGTGCTACATAAAATTCAAGGGGCAATCTATGTCAAAAGAATATAATGTCCCAGAAATGTTTACTGAAAAGATGAGACAGGTATTACAGGGTCACATATCAGAATAGGTATTTAACGCCAACTAATTTTATTTGCTATGATTTTTAAAAATAAATGAATAGGCTGGGTGCAATGGCTCACGCCTATAATCCTAGCACTTGGGGAGGTTGAGAGGGGAGGATTGCTTGGGGTCAGGAGTTCAAGACTAGCCTGGACAATAGCAAGATCCTGTCTTTACCAGCCCCCCCACCCAAAAAGAAAAAAAACTCTAGCCAGGCACGGTGGCTCACACCTGAAGTCCCAGCTACTTGGGAAACTGAGGCAGAAGATCCCTTGGGCCTAGAAGTTAGAGGCTGCAGTGAGCTATAATGATATCACTGTACTCTAGCCTGGGCAGCAGTGTGAGACCCTGTCTCAAAAAATAATAAGAATATCATTTTAATAGTTTTACCTCAGGGTTTGTAGAAGACCCTGATTTGCAAATTACAAAAAGTAATCTTAGAAGTTGTCTAGTTATTCGGCTGACAGTGACTGGGATGAAAATTCTACAGTAAATACTTAAAAAATGAATAAAAAAGTAGAGCCACAACTCCAAAGGGCATTTACAGATTAATGGAATCTGTTGAACATGAATAGCTGGAGAAGAGAATTTTGAGTGTCCTGCCTTTCCTAGCAGAAGGTGGCTAAATGGGGCTGAGCCAAGATTTGAAAAAGCCCAGCACTCTCCACTATAAAATATCCCCATAAAACTGCACAAAATTAGCTGGGTTTCCATTCTGACTTTGCCACTGTACCAGCAATCTGAACTTAAGAAAATCATTTAATTTTTCTGGTTCTCAGGTTCCTTACAAGGAAAACAAAATAACTGGCCTATTACACAGTTTTGAAGTTCTCCCTCAGATCTAATGTCATTATGTCCCTGAATATCAGGGGAAAAAAATGTACCTAAAAATTTAATCTATTTAACTTTTAAGTTCAATAATGACATGAACTTCATATTCAGATTCACACACAAAAATCCTATAGAATAACTTCCTATTTCATACCAATTTCCTATGAGTTACAATAGAAAGATTAAATGTACATAAACCATGGAGTGACAAAGGCAAAATCTTTCAAGTGATAGTGATTTTTATAAAAAATTCATCAAATACAATTACTCTTTTGAACAAATTTCAAAAGTTATAGATGGAATTATGAGAATTACTTTTATATAAAACTTTAAAAACATTTTCTGCATAAGGTGTTATATGCCTACACTAATGTAAACAAACCAAAATATCTGTTAATGATCATCATAACATAGCATAATTAATATTTGCAAATATATATATATCAAAACTTAAAAAAGGCTACACATGATGGTGGTGATGCATAATTGAAGTCCCAGCTACTGGGGAGGCTAAAGCAAGAAGATCGCTTGAGCCCAGGAGTTCAAAGCCAGCCTGAACAGCATAGTGAGACCTCGTCAACTTAAAAAAACCTCTCTTGATTGTGAAGAGAAGTTTCAGAAATGCCTATGTCAAGAAAAATTCTAAAGAAAATGTAACTTTCATCTTACAGAAACAATGCTTTGTTGATCTTCTGACAGTGAAGATGTGGCAGTATACAGCTAAGGCTTCTTCAGCATTCCGTAACGCAATGATCATTCTTAACAAAAGAAATCTAAGTTACATTTAGCCAGGCAAGGTGGCATGAGCCTGTAGTCCCAGCTGTTTGAGAGGCTGAGGCAGGAGGCTCACTTGAGGCCAGGAGTTCAAGTCAAGCCTGGGCTACACATCGCAAGACTC